TTTGATTAAATAAAGATTTATTTATTTCAAAAATAAGCAAAATTTAGCAATTAAAGAAATTGGTTTTGAAAATGCAAATAAATAATTTTTTTGTAATGAACTTTTTCTTTGTTCTAAACAATTTTTTATTTAAGCATTCAAAGTAATATTTTTTAAAAAATTATAAAGTAATTTCAGTTGTCTTAATAAAAAAAAGATCTCTTTGATCTTAAATGTCGTAATATAAAATAGGTGTGCTATTGTAATCATTTAAACGCCTATGAAGTTGAAGAAACTATTGAATTTGATTTAACTAAACACGAAAGTCTTGTAGATTATAGCGTTTATACTATGCATATGTTACCAGACAAAAAAATATTACATATTTTTTTCCAACTTCCAAACTTACTCGTACTTTTTAATTATATATAAAACATGTTCTCTTTTTAATTTGCTTATAATAATTTGTTCAATACTAATACTAATAATTGCAATTTGAAAATTGTATTTTAAAAATTAAAGATTGCTGTTATTATTTCATTTACTATATGTATAAACATATTACTGGAAAAAATAATTTTCATAATAATTACAATGCATCGTTTAAATTTATTGTAGTATTAAGGAAGATAATTATTAAACTATTAAAATGTACCCTTGATCACCTATTATTATTTTCATATCTCACATGGTTTTCTATCTTCATGAAAAATAAGAAAAATATTAAAAGGGTCAAGAATATCTTCATTTTTTTATTTCTAATTTATTACTTTAATTTCTATTTTGATTTTTTATTTTGAATGTTAGAAACTATACAAGTCACTATAATATGAATTAAAAATTGAAAAGTAAAGATATTCTTCATTATTTTAATATTTTAACATATTAAAAAAATATTTTTAGGAAAAATATATAGCTGTAATAATAAAATAATTAAATAAATTTTTCTACATTTTTTTATAACACAGAAAATTTATTGAAATGAAGAAAAATATTTTTTATTTCATATTTTTCATAAATATTAAGAACTTTTATTATTCAATCATGTGTGATTCCGTAATACTGTAGAAGGCAATACTGGTAATTATAACCAACATTTTTATTACACTATATGTAGAATATATAATGAGAAAAATATATTGTTTGTATAGTGTAATCATTAGCTCAGCGTTAGCGCAGAAGTTTGCTGCAGTGAGATATATAACATACTGGAGTGACCCTTGGGGTGGTGGGGATGGCCGAACTGTGCAACAGTAATGCGAGAATGACAGTCATGCAGCTTGGGGACGTCTGCCTCACTTTAACTGACATTATTAAAATGAGGCAAACGTCCCCCAAGCTGCGTGGCTGTCACTCTCGCACAGCGGCTACTCCTCACCACGCGTTTTCCTAGGGAAGGCTCACTCCAGTATGTGTATATCTCACTAGTTTGCTGTTCTAAAGATTTTAGGTTCGATTCTCATTGATGCGTTGCGTTTTCAAAAAATATAAACCTGCGTAATTAATAAAATAGAAAAATGCGAAATAGTAAACACAGATCAAACTGTAAAGAATAATGTGCAATAAAAAAATAATAATATTTTTATTTTTTTTCAATTTATTAAACCCAAAGAAATTATCTATAAAACTTTTATTTAAAAAAAAAAAATTTTTTATATAGAAAAGTATTTACTTTTGTAAACATTGAAGATTAGAGATCGATCGGATTGTTCACGATATTTAAAAAATCGCTCTTGGATAGAATAGAGAATTGATCAATCGTAGTGAATGAATCGTTCATACGTGATTGCTACTGGTTTACTTGTCCGAAGTCTTGGAGTGATCTTTAGCTCTTAGGGTGCGTTCTACAATGCGTCATACGTTAGTAGCCGTAATCCGTAAGATGTGACCAATTGTAATCAAATATTCTTCTTACTTAACTTTAACTGTGATTGGTCAGTTAATACGACCCGACGACGTAGGACGTATTTTTTTAGAATGGGCTTTAAATATCGAGATTCGAGAACATACCCTTAAGAATTAACTACACGCGTTATATAAAGATGGCACTACGTAAAGTATAACATTTAAAATAATCAAGCGATGTATTGCACCGTATGATACCATGTGTAGCACAATGTGAAATATCTCGCGTATAATACGCGTACAACCCTGCCGGCGCACTCACGCTGGATGTTTTAGGCGTTGGAATTACAGTATTTCTTTCCGTTCGATGCACGAACTTGTTCATTCTCTAATCTCTTCTACCTTTTCGCGATACGATAATAGACTTCAAATACACTTTTATTCGTTCCACTTAATCGCGATCCGTAATATACATACGTATTTACGTTCGACAAATTATTACATTCCCTGGATAGAGAGTTCGGATGGATCGCGGCGAGCGTGGAAACGAGAGGAAACGAATTGCCGAGCGAGCGAGCGAGAGAGAGAGAAAGAGAGAGAGAGAGAACTCTATACTTTTCGGACTGAAATCTCGAACCGATCTTTTATATTTGGATACGCTGAAAATTAGAGATCGATCGGACTGTTCACGATATTAAAAAAATCGCTCTTGGACAGAATAGAGAATTGATCAATCGCAGTGGCTGAATCGTTCAAACGTGATTGGTATTTGCAGTTTACTCGTCCGAAGTCTTAGGCAAGGAGAACAAGCTGATAGTGTTGTATGAGTTTCCAGTTACGCTCCCCCGCCACTACTAGATGGCGCTAAGGTCGTTGAATAATAGAGCAAGAGTTTCCTTGCTCAGAAAATTCAATGCTATTTCTGTTTTGCTTTCTACCGTGAATTTTTAGTAACGATCAGTGACGATTAGTAGTGATCAGTAGCAATCCTAGCAATTAAAGAAATTTGAAGCTCTCTGGAATAATTTAAATCAATTGGGAGCAGTGTACAGTCAACAGCAATGAATCGCTGGGTCACATAGACTGGTGAACTTACCGACTTACTGACTAGTCAGATACGCGTGCCTAACAAGTCAGACACGTCGGTAAGTTCACTAGCTATGTGCCCCAGCGATTCATTGCTGTTGACTGTACAGCAATCCGTTAGTATTGGAAAATCTGAAGTAGTCTAAATAATCTGGATAACCTAGAGAAATCTGAATTCGAAGCAAATATTTATATATATATTTATATATATATATATATATATATATATCATATATCCCAGACAGCACATGATATCATACTGATATCCCGTTCTCATGCTGAATGTTCTGTGATCATACCGATTTTACTGAGAACATTCGTGATAATATCTTTAAAGTATATCCCATTGGATATCCCAGGTAGATTTAATGTATATTCTTTTTACGTACCCAGGATGTAGGAATCGACATAAACGCCATCTGTACGTATCATATATGCACTTTGATGCTAATCTTTTCTCTTCAGTATTTACGCTGTTTTTCCGATTACACAGTGACAGGATGACAAGAATTTCGAAGATTTACGCAACGTAATGTTTATCCAAGGTAATCCGACTTTCACATTTTATTTAGCAACATTTTTTAATATTAAATACATTAATTATGTTTATTCTAAAATTGATTATTCATAAAATCAATCATTAATTGTTATAAACCACTACTAATTTTGAAACCGCTCTCGCACTCTCAGGAATCAGGATTCTCTCTGCTGTCACAGTCGATGAAATTCGTTTTCAAGTATAACGAGTATAACCGTGCATACAAGGAAAGGTCACAAAGGTGACCACAAAGGAAAAAGAGGAAAGCGGAGAAACGAGAAGAATCGTCATAACTAGATAAAATTACAAAATTGTACATACAATAACTGCATGGGTTAAAAATTAGTTATACTACGGACAGAAAGTAATAAAATACTTTCTAAACATTGGCACTTTTGTACACAAAACTTTAATATTAAAATTAGTTTGGAAAAATTTGCAAGCCACTTACGAAATCAACATCTTGACAAAATGCTTCCATTTGAAAAAGCAATTATTAAAGAAGAGGTAGAAATAATTGACGTAGTGGAAGAGGTACAAAACATAAAGGTAGAAAAAAATGAAAAGAGCGGAGAAGCAGTCAATACAAATAATGTTGAAGCTGATGTCACTCAATCAGTAGAAAAAACATGTAATATGACAACTACCATAAATACTGTGTATTTTGAGCATAAGGAATCATCAGACGATCAAAGTAATTCTGAAGCTTCTACCTCACAAACAAAATGTCCAACAGAAAGTCATCCTGACTTAAATGCAGTTGGACCAAGACAATTTGTTCAACAAAACAATTCAACAGATCAAGTATTTGCAATT